TTCAGTCCCAAAGGGCTTTAAGAACTGTCCATCATATAGTCTCCCACTTGGTCCGTCAGATGTAATCAAAACAATGGGCGAAACTAAGTAAAAAAAAATGGAATTTTGAAAGGGGATCTGAGGTTATGAAGCCTGCATATCACAGATATGACGTCAAAAGACAAATTTAAAAAGCAGGCAACATATCCTAAGGGTGATTATACAGTATTGAAGTAGGAATACTGGAACCACCCAAGTTGAAAAAGGCCAGTTGAGGGTGCTACACCATGGGTGTGACGTCACCCCTGGTAATTATTTCGAAAAGCAATGGAGACATCAGAATTTGTGTAGACATGAGACAAGCAAATACAGCAGCAGTTGAACGTGAACGGTTTGCAATGCCGGACATTAACGAAACACAAGAAGAACTTAGTTGAGCCAACATCTTCACTAAACTAGATCTCAACATGGGGTATCACCAGACAGAGCTCGACCCACAATCAAGAAAAATAATATTTGTCACAAACGATGGAAAATATCGCTATCGCCGACTTATGTTTGGAATTTCTGTCCTTCAGAAAATATGATAAACAAGATCAACAAGGAAAGGCGGCGTTCAATGAACGCAACCCCCATATGACCCAGCAACAAGAACCAGTGGCAAGGAGTCCAGGCGGACCCCAAACAAAAACAGGACAGGGCAAAGACAGAGCACGGACAGGTTAATCACTAAATGATAAATAATAATTTGTAACTGATTAGGAATTCAAAGAAAACAAATAAATGATTGAATAATAAGCCCACAAAGTCAAAGGGGACAGGAGACCGGGGGGAAGGGGGGGGGATTAAAGAAATAAAAACTAGGGGTAATGGGGAAGATACTTATCGTAGACGAGAAAACAACAAGGGACACAAGCAAAAGTGTCACCACAACAGTATGAAACAACATAGAAGTACATCTGAGGAACACAGAGGGGCGCCGCTTTGGAACGATCAGCAGCATAATAATGACTGCTGGGGTGTTTAAACCGGTTAATGGTGCACCAAACCTCGCTCTTAGCCCCACCATGTTCCTATAAACGAGACAGTGTAAATAAAATGAATCCCCGCCAAGTGAAATTCTAACAGTTGTCATGGTTACAAAAGGAAATAAGTAAAACACTAATTTAAAAATGATCATGTAGAAACATATAAAAACTTAATAGTGTCGACATCACTGATCCCGAAGGACCAGAAAAATATAACACCACTGAAGTTAAATCTTTCTTAGGACTGCTAAACTACTGATGTAAAGTAGTAACATTTTCAATTTTGCCGTGTTGGGCTTTCTTTGGGGATTCTGTATTTATCTATTTTATTCCGAATTTCGCAACTATTTCGGAACCTATCATAAACTAGTGAAAAACAGAATCCCTAAAGAAAGCCCAAAACGGCAAAATTGTAAAATATTGCAGGCTCGGTTTGATTGAGCCTGTTCATGGACGGTACTGGAAAGTGCAAGATACCGTCCACGCCCCCTAGCACCGGCTTAAGCAGAATTCAACATTTAAACACAAAATGGTAAAAGTCTGAATTTAGAAACATCCGCAGATGTGTTCATACGGCGGTTATCATGGAAACTTCAATGTGACACAGTAGTGTCATTTCTATGAAAAGCGGCGTATGGTCCCCGAGTAAAAGAATGCGTGTGACCTAAACGAGAAAACAATGGGCGGAACTAAATAAAATGGAATTTGGAAGGGGATCTGAGGTTATGAAGCCTGCATATCACAGACAAGACGTCAAAAGACAAGTTTATAAAGCAGGCAACATATCCTAAGGGTGATTATACAGTATTCAAGTATAAATACAAGAAACTAAAAATACCATCTAAAATGTATACATTGTACAAAACAATAATGTTGTGCTGAACGATCTCCAAGGATCGAAAATGTAACATCATTTAAACTAACAAGAAAAAATGTTCCGTTCGACTGGGATAAAGAACAACAATCTGTGCTTGAACAGTGCAAATGTCATAGCTTTCTACAACCCAAAAGCTGAGACAACACCTAAGGTTGAGGGCTCACCATATGGTCTTTAGGTAGTTTTGCTTCAAAAACAAAATGATGGACATTTAAGACCTGTAGCGTATGTAAGCAGAACACTTAATGATACTGAAAGGCGTTACTGTCAAATAGAAAGAGAATGCTTAGCAGTATCTTGGGGGATAGACAAGTTTCACACTTTCAGTAATTACAGACCATAAACCGCTAGTCAAAAGCCAACACACAAACCTCCAGCTAGACTAGAAAGAATGCTACTTAGACTACAAAGTTACAAATTCAACATAGAATTTCAATCAGGAGCATTAAACCCAGCTGACATCCTATAAAGGTCAACGTATAGTCAAGAAAAATGTGAGATATCAAATATCACACAAGGTTTCATGGATTATGTGTGCGAAAATGCCGTGTAAATGGCTATGACCTTAGATCAAATTGATAAAAGAGTCAGTTCAGGACAAATTCATTCAAAAACAAATGAAGTGCATTCAGCATGATAAATGGCCGAAACATCAGAATTTTAAGATTTTCTACAAGATACGCAATGAACTGTCAGTATATGGTAACATTGTGTTACGGGGAAACAGAATTGTAATTCCACAGGGACCAAGACCACAAGTATTACAGATAGCACATGAAACACATCAAGGAATAGTAAAAACAAAGCAAATGCTAGAAAAATATATTGGCCTGGCATTGAACAATTAATTGAAATGCCAATTAAAACGTGCTTCCAGTGCCAGCTAGTTCCAAAAAATAGATAAATACAGAATCCCTAAAGAAAGCCCAACACGGCAAAATTGAAAATGTTGCAGGCTCGGTTTGATTGAGGACAGGACAACTTCCTATCACACCAACTGAATTACCGGAAACACACTGGCAAACCGTTGGGATGAATTTAACAGGACCGTTCCAAGGGGGAGAATGTATTCTTGTAGTCATCGATAACTACTATCCAGAAATTGAAATCATGAAATCAATCACCTCAAGTTGTATTAATCAAAGACTTATGAAAATATTTGCCACACATGGACTAACTTCAGTGATCAAAACGGAAAGTGCACCAAACATAGTATCTCATGAAATCACAAACTTCTTCACTGCAAACGGAATTACACACCAATGTGTTAACCCTTATCGTTGATAAATGACCACTATTATTTTTGATTGACATGCAAAAAAATATGACAAACAAGACCAATTAGGAAAGGCGGCGCTCAATGAACGCAATCCCCACTGCAAGTTTATGTTCATGATTATATCGTGATCGTGAATAAAAAGGATTTTTTTGTGTTGCCAGCTACACAGACGTTTGGCTTGACTACTCCTCAAAAGCTACTGGTAAAATTTCATCAAAACATAACATACATGTATCTAGTTGTGCATCTCGTCAAAAGTTTTTGGTTTATTAATTTTTGTCAGTCTTAGCCCTTAAATAATATCAATTTTAAAATCTGTCCGTACTACTCTTACATCGCCGAATACACACGGTTCATAAACATGAAACATAATAACATGTAATCAACAGTGGGTAAAATGAATAAAATTGCGTCAATATACAGCAACAGGTGCGTAAAATGTCGACTAATGAAATTGAGTTTTTGGTGCCTTCTGGGTGTACTGCTTGGGTGTGTCCGGGATCAGCGTCCTGTGAGCGTTGCCTTTGCCTTGTTGATCTTTATTCTTGTTATTTTATGAAAATTTATATTCTTCGACAACAAAGAAAATAGCAGCGTCCACGATGTAAACCGGTTTCACGTGTCTTGCCAATATAAACGGCATAACTGTCCCCAAACTAAACTATTCCGCAAGCAAAGACCACAAAAGTAATATTTTTTCTAGCAAACGTCGTTTGAGAACGAGCTATTTGATTGGTTTAAATCGCCTCATGAAATTGTGAAGCAACCAATGAAAAAGATGCCTTTTACACACCTCCTATCGACAAGTTAGCGGCAAAAATCCTACGGCTGATCAATGTTAATGGCTCTGCCGTTGGTCGGACTGATTGGTAGCTCGATTTCTTGCGCATATTTCACAGGTTTTTAGATGAATGATTTTTGCCTATCTTGAGGCGACACAGGTGATCACTGATCTTTCTTTCTATGGTACATGCAGACAGTTTTTGCTTTTTAAGTATACATACGTCGTATTTCATAGGAAATTTATTTACAGAGTTTGGCTTTATGTAATATCTAGTAATTTATAGTATGTCACAATTATAAAAGGAATATGAATCTCAAAAATACTTCAAAGATCTAATTATGTACTGCATAAATTGTGTTGATTAAAACTCAACGTATTTTTTACTTGGATATCTTACGCCCATATCATTCAATCACAAAAACGTACCACATTGAAAGTTCCATGTTAAACGCCTTACCACCGTATGATCACATCTGTGAATTTGTTTTAATTCAAATGCCACCATTTCATATTTTAAAATTGAATTCTGCTTATCCGTTGCAATGGGCATGGAAAGTGTGCAATTTAGCTTTTACAAACCACTACTACGAAAGACCGGTGGAGACATTTCAACTTCATGAATTCACGATTTGAACTTCATGAATTCACGATTTTAACTTATCAAATTCAACTTCGTGAATTGACGATTTCAACTTCACGAATTTACGATTTCTAATTCATGAATTCACTATTTCAACTTCATGAATTCACGATTTCCACTACATGAATTCACGATTTCAACTTCACGAATTCACGATTTGAACGCCATGAAGCTGAAATCGTGACTTTACGAAGTTGAAGTTGTGAATTCTGGAATTCATGAAGCTGAAATGGCACTACCGGTCTTTCGTACACTACCCTTATTTGTGTTTACTAATTTTGTAACGAATGCATTTCATATATTAAGATTATTTTTTAAACACATCGTTATAAAGTGCATTCGTTTTATTCTTAGATTAATAAGAAAGAAATTTGTTTAATTTTACTTCTTTAATACTGTACATACATTAACAGGTTGACCTCATGCTGGAATTTACGATGTCATCAGAATCGAAATATAGTTGGTCTCCTTTTAGTTTACCTGTCCCAGACAGTACGACATTAATCATTCCAAAAAATCAAGGCTTTATCAAGAAAATGTGGGATAGTGCGTGGAAATTAACCGAACATGATATAAAATCTGGACTGAAACCTGAAAAAGTAATGCATATTACTCTTTTTGTTGTTGATCATTTTCAGTTCACAACTATATAAACCACATTTATTAAAATTAAATCTAAAGAATAATATTAAAAACACAAATAAGATTTTGTCATAATTGCGATACAATATTGCTTTACTCAACAAAAGCCTGTTAAATGTATTGTTTTTATTAATTGAATTAAACGTAGGAATACATGTATGTAAAATTATTTCCTTTTTAATAACAAGAGCAAATAGAATGTATCGCAATCATAATGTTTCAAGGTTTAAGATCGGTGCTGCTGGTTCAGTTTTACCCGAAAACATCCAACTTAATACATTTCATACATTCCTCATTTTGTTATAGAATCTATAGACTAAAATTTGAAAAATAATAAATTTGTCAATATATTCTTAATTCCATATCATTATTTGATTTCAGGACAGAATATTCAAATTGGAAAGGAAATTAAACAAGCTTAGAAAGTATATGAAGAAACAGATGGAAACGACGAGAGAAATCTTAGAGCGCTTAAAATAAAGAGAAGAAGAATCAAGTTCAACATGTTAAATATATTTTTTATACGACATAAGATGTGAAGATAAGTTTAAAACTTGACTAGCATTTCAAAAGTTACTATAGTAACTAGTTTTACAATCTACTACTTAAACCAGATAGTCTCCAGAAGAGATAAAGTCAAACTGAACTGATTCTTTGTCATAACAATTTATTACAGGGGAATTGCTTAAACAAATGACTAAATATTAATGATGATATAGAATTGCTATAGTCAGATAATTTCCATCAATTATAATAAATTAAAATGTAGATAGTATGTCTTGAAATGTCAGTTGCCAAAATTCTACATTCAAATCAATACTTAATGCTTTCATATACCCAAAATTAATGACGATTTGAATTCATACCGTTTCAAATATTATGACCCACTTTATTAATTGTTTTATGAGATTACTGTTATATGTTAGTCATATTTATCACAAACAATGTCTTGAAAATATATATTCACGACTGCCATTATGCTTGAAACTCATATAAACAGGAATAATGTTTGTAACTGACGATGATAAAGCGAGTGAATAACCACGGATTTATAATAGAAATCCGTGATATAACTTAGCAAAAAATATATAATGATTAGTACAATATAAAATTTTTATATAAATATAAAATGACAGGTGCATGCCTTATACTCAATAAAGATACTCACTGTTTTAGAGTTTTTATATGATAAGAACGACGTAGGAGCAACCTTTGGCTGTTTGGATAAAAGTGTTTCAATTAACGCTACATGTTTACTGAATAAAATGACTGGAAAGATTATTTGTCATTTCAACACCGAATGTAAAAAAGACTTTCAGAGTTCATAGGCCAACATCTGAGGTGCTTATAAAACAAATAGTATTGATTTTGTTTTCAAAATATATGTGAAAAATATCGTGGTAAATTACAAATATGAGTCATTGAAAGTCAATTAAAGCTGCGTTATTTTTTAAAGCCTGAAACAATTTTGGATTAATACAATATTATGCACATTTTGTTGTTTTTTTTTCGACCGTCCGCCAGCCTGTTAGAAGTTTCAATACCGTTATGTATCTTTGAACCGGTAGATGGAAAAGAATATTTCAACTACTAAGCAGATTAAGAAACCATCATTCATGATACGATGTGCAGAGCAGAGTGCATGTTTGACCTTTCTTAGTTCTTGGTCAAGATCACACGTAGTGATTATTTTGTATTAATTAAAAAATCTGGGTTTTTATTAACCGATAAAAATTAATTAAAATCTTTCTTGCAACATATTAATTGTATCAGACGATGTGCAGAACACAGGTTTGGACTTCCTGAGATAAAAAATTGGCCCTTTTTTGAGCATAACCTGATTTATATTGCTTTTAAAAGGATTTTTTGTGTCCGTTCTGTAAATTTTTAAACCGGGAGAAGAAAAATGAAACTACTACGCAGAAATGTTGACCATAATGCACGATGAAAAGATTGCTGGTTTGAGTTTTCTCAGATGGTCAATGTCACAATAAGTCATTTTGTAAAAAAAAAATCAAAATTTCGTGTCCGCTCTGTATCTTTTGAACCGATAGAGGAAAATGCTCTTTATGACAGAATAATTACTTACAATGATACAGAGGCAGAACATATGTACCGGCTTCATGAGATCAAAATTGGCCTCACCCTGGGATTGCTTGATGCATAGAAACTTATATAGATTCACACATTTAAGTTTCATTGCGTGACATTGCAATGTATAGAGCTTAGATATTTAGCATGTAACATTGCCTTATTGACCTTTATAAAACTAAAATAAATCATGCCCTTGGTTCAATATTGGCCCTGCCAAAGGGGTCACATTGTTTATTAGTTACAAAGGAAAGACACGTCTTGGATATTTTTGTGAAACTACGATGCCTAAAGTTTAAATATATAGTATGTGGCATCACGTTTTAGTCCACGAAATATATTGTATTAATCATTCCCAGTGGGTTAATATTAGCTCCGCCCTTGGGGTCACTTAACATTTATATTTTTGTGAACGAAAACTCGTTTAAGTCTTATTTTTGTTAAACTACTATGTCTAAATGTTAGATATTTGGTATGTAGCATAGGCTTGTTGGCCGTAACAAAACTTGTAACAGTCATTTCCCTCGGGGCAATGTTGGCCCCGCCGCTTGGACACGTAGTTGATATATTCTTGTAAGAGAAAACACATTGCAGACTTATTTTAGTAAACTCCAATGTCAAAAGCTCATATATTTTACAGGTAGCATAACCTTGTGAACCTTTGCAAAGCTGATATTAATCCTGCCTCTTGGGTTAAAGTTGGCCCGCCCAATTGTGCGAAACTATTGTTGCATATAACATCAAATTTTAAATTTCTACAAAAGCTTTATAAATCATATGCATGCCCCTCAGGTCAAACTTTGCCCTGCCCCTGGGGTCACTTGCGTTAACCCGACTAACGTTTAGGAAAACACATCTTTTTTGGATGAAAACTTTACCTCTATATTTGCATATATAATTGCCTAGTACATATCTTTTAAATTTCATGAAGCATGCACTTAGTGTAAAAAATGCTTTCACTTATGTTCTCGTCTTTTTTGGAGTCATATCATAAGGACAATAAAGATAAAACATTTTTTTCAAACAAGTTTTTTGTTTTGATTGGGTCTCTGTCCTAATTTAAATATAATACTTGATCACTTAAACAAATGTGCATTCGGGCGTATATTGCTTCGCCTTTTTGATAAACTTGTTAAGAAATATATACTGTCAGAGCTTTGATATCTTGTATGTACATGGCTCTTGTAATCCTCTACACGCGTTGTAAAAAATCATGCCTCTGAGGTCAAAGTTAGTTTCTGTTTATCAATTGTTTATAACTACAGTTTAGTTTTTATCAATTTATATTACTTTTATAGTGAATTGTTTATACTTATGACAGTTCAGTGATCATTAGTTGTATATATCTACAGATTAATGTTCATCTGTTGTATATTACTACAGATTAATGTTCATCTGTTGTATATTACTACAGATTAATGTTCATCTGTTGAATGGAACTACAGATTAATGTTTATCTATTGTATAGTACTACAGATTAATGTTCATCTATTGTATAGTACTACAGATTAATGTTCATCTGTTGTATATTACTACAGATTTATGTTCATCTGTTGTATATTACTACAGATTTATGTTAATCTGTTTTATATAACTACAGATAAATGTTCATCTGTGTATATAGTTCTATAAATAAATGTTCATATGTTGAATGGTGCAACAGATTAATGTCCATATGTTGCATATTTCTACAGAATAATGTTCATCAGATTAATAATCATCTGTTGTATGATACTACATATTAATGTTCATCTGTTATATTTTACTACATATAAATGTTCATCTGTTGTATATTACTACAGATTAATGTACATCTGTTGTATGTTACTACAGATGAATGTTCATCTGTTGTATAGTACTACAGTTTAGTGTTTATCAGTTGTTCATCAGTTGTTTATCACTAACGTGTATTGGTCATATGTTTTATATTACTATATTTAGTGTTCATCTGACGTAAAATACTTAAGTACAGTGTTTATCAGTTGTATATAACTACAGTTTAGTGTTCATCAGTGTATATTTCTTTAGTGTATTTAGCGTCAATTGTATATATGATACATTTTTTATGGGCGAAAAAAATGTTGGCAATAAATTATTAAAAACATGCAGCTGGTCGTTGGTTCGTCCGTTACCATTGTTCGTATCCGGTTTGAACAGGTGGAAGGAACTTGAATCTTCTTGGCAACAATGTTAACTACAATGATGGAATTAATTGAATCAAAGGTTCATATAACAATGTTTTTGTTTTAGTTTTTAATTTTTTTTATTTGCATTTCACATTAAACACATCTGCCAAGTTTGCAAATCATTGCATTCGCGATTCCGACCAGTGTATATGTTTCTCATAATATTGTATTTGTGTGTCTTTCTGCAAGACATGAAAAGAAAATATTACATGTAATAATGTTTGATATAAAAAAGAAATAATTGTTTATGTCTTGTGCATAACATGTATTAATAATGTACAAATGAAATATTTAATTAAATATTGTCAACTCAGTTAATTGTTGATTAAATTAATTATATGATTATTATGAGCCGTTATGTCAGTTAGACCTTTATATAATGCTAAATGTTTATTACGTAAGCTCCTTGCCATGTTATTGCACGTAAAGAGAATAACGTTCCTCGTCCCCATTATCTATCATCTGTCCTTTTTTTATTAAATCTTACATGTGACTTAGTATGTTATTTAAAGATAGTGTGGTCACAAACGTATCCTTTCTTATATTTGGTGAGCATTAAGATAAATATACACTGAAAATAATTTAAAACACGCTCCCATTCATTCAGTTGCACATCCCTATGAATAACTTGGCTGGATAGGTGACTTACCTGCCTCAATGTTAACGCTATCGGGACAATCTTTAATTTTCAAAATGTAAAAGATACTTTAAAGATCTGGAAAAAAATGTTATCCCTCAAAAGCATTAATCTCAACAAAAAAAAATGAAAATGGCATTGCATATTCGGTTTCATTGAGTCTGTACATGAGGTATAATAAAAAGGTTCAACATCCCTCACGCCGCTTAGCACAGGCTTTGGTGGTATTCAATTTTCAGCACTTAAAAGCCATGAAATCAATAATCCCGAAGGAAAAAATATATAACAGCACTTGGTCAAGAACGGGGAAACCTACCCTTGATACCTGCTGTTGTGATGTAGAAAGATTTTGGAATAAGTGATCCCTTATAAGAAAAGAACTGGATGCTTCTTAGTTGGTCGACGGGAGAAACTATTTAGTTCGGTAAGAGGTGATCGAGGCAGCAATGTATAATATTTTTACAAAATGGCAGATACATCGGCCTTTATGATATAATGGTATGAGCCTGAATAATACTTGGAACTGTCAAATGTTTATAATACTGACATATTCATTTGGAAGTTTAAATCAGACCTTAAAAGCAGTTTAAAAGAGTTTTTGTTAACCACATTGACACAATGGTTATATATTATATGCTGTGTTATGATTAATTAAATGTATACATACGCAAGTTTTTCTAACGTGGTAAAATTTAAAGTCAAGAAAATGTTAGAGTAACAGGATTAATGGAAGAGTATAACAGTTTTAATACAGAAATCAATTAATAATTCTTAGTAGAGTGGAATGACCTGTATCAATGATTAAACCGTAGGTAAACGACAACGCCAGGTTAAAGCTGATGAGTCCACTAGTCAAACTATCACATAAAGAAGCTTATTTGATTCTTTGAAAACTGAAGCAAAAGAGATCATAAAAGATATATAAAGATTTGAACATTTACAATCGTATATACACATATATTGGTGTGCATTGATATAACTCTGTATCTGCAGGCTTCATAACCATCAGAAATTGTATGAAGCTTTTATTTGTTATAATGAAATATTTCGACCACAAATGAGTTAAATCATTAGAAGTGTTTATTTATCA